CCCCCCCCCCCATCCCTCAGACGCCCTCCTGAAGCGTCCCGAAGTTCGGGGCGTGAAATTCCTCTTCCTGGTTGGCGGCTTCGCCGAGTCGGCCGTGCTGCAGCGCGCCGTGCAGGCGGCGTTGGGCACCGCGTGCCGCGTGCTGATCCCGCAAGACGCGGGGCTGAGCGTCCTGAAGGGCGCCGTCCTCTTCGGCCTCGACCCCACCGCGCTGCGCGTCCGCCGCTCCCCGCTCACCTACGGCGTCGGGGTGCTCAATAAGTTCATCGAAGGCAAACACCCGAGGGAGAAGCTGCTGCTGAAGGACGGCCGGCGGTGGTGCAGCGACGTCTTCGAGAAGTTCGTGTGCGCCGAGCAGTCGGTGGCGCCGGGGGAGGTGGTGCAGCGCAGTTATTGCCCCGCGCGTTCCGGGCAGCGCAGAACCGTCATCAACATCTACAGCTGCGCCCGGGACGACGTGCTGTTCATCACCGAGCCGGGGGTGAGGAAATGCGGCACCGTCAGCCTGGAGCTGCCCGAGCTGGGGGGGGTCGGGGAGCGCAGGGAGATCCGGGCCAGCATGCAGTTCGGGGACGCGGAGATCGAGGTGACGGCCGTGGATGTGAGCAGCGCCAGGACCGTGAGCGCCACCATCGATCTCGTGGCCGAATGAAGGCGGTGGGGAGCGGGGAAGCGGCGGCGCGGGATGCGGGGGGCGGCTGGGCGCCACTCGGTGCTCCTCGGTGGGGGCGCAGAGCGAGCGTGCGACCATGCGGCCAACTGCTCTGCTGCTCCGCGTCCCCGGGACCCACAGCCTGCAGCCCCACGTCTCTGGGTTTCCCACCCTGCAGCCCCACATCTCCAGGTTCCACACTGCAGCCCATTTGTTCTGCAGCCCCACATCTCTTGAGTTCCATACCCTACAACCCCACATCTCCAGGTTCCACATCCTGCAGCCCCACATCTTCAGGTTCCACCCTGCAGCCCCACATCTCCGGGTTCCATACCTTGTAGCCCATCTGTTCTGCAGCCCCACATCTCTGGGTTTCCCACCCTGCAGCCCCACATCTCTGAGTTCCATATCCTGCAGCCCCACATCTCTGGATTCTACACCTTGGTGCTCCATACCTCTGAGTTCCACACCTCATCAGCCCCACATCTCCAGGTTCCACACTGCAGCCCATTTGTTCTGCAGCCCCACATCTCCGGGTTTCCCACCCTGCAGCCCCACATCTCCATCGGGCTGAAGGCAGCTGAGCCCC